ATCAAAAAAAAAAAAAAAAAAAAAAAAAAAAAGGAAAAAGACAAATTAATATAAGTTTAGCTCATGTAGGGACAAAACCTAGTTTACTTTCACTAACATATAATCCATGATGTTTTTTTGTATATATTAATGTTAGTTGTAATGCATTTGTCTCTTCAATTGTCCTTCCTAAAGTACTTATGTACATGTAATAGCTGTAATTAACGTCTAATAATTGTGTATTAAGTATTAACTACCCATCTAATTATTGCTTAATTTGTAAACGTTTTTACTGTCTTTGACCCGATGTATCAAATTTAAAACGCGTTCATTAGGGAGAGATATACATAAACTTATAAACAGCACACACATTATAACTTAAGATGTAATGACTCGACTTTTCAATATTACGTATGAATAATTTTTTTTTTTTTTTTTTTTGTTAAAAGAAAAGAATCGGACAATACTGAGACCAAATAGAATAGAAGGCGGTGTTTGCAATAAATATAAGTAAGTATTTTAATAATGTAAAGACATGTCAGGATGGCACATTATGTTGGGGTTTGGAATCAATTACTTTTTAAATTTGGCTTTACACATCAAACTTCATATATAATAACCTCTCTCAATCTAAATCACTAATTTTAATATTTATATATATTAATCATAGAAGTCAAATTAGATATTTTTAGTGTAATGTATGAAAGTTAATTAAATGTGAAAAATGTTAATAAAAATATTATGAATGGTAACGTGAGATACCACGTCGATTAGAGAGGAGAACGAAACATTCTTTATAGAGGTGTAGAAACATTTCCTTAAGAGGCGCGTTTTAATGGGTTAAAGTGGACAATACCAAATAGCGGTGGGCTTGGGCCATTATAAATAGTATCAGAGTCAGACATCGGATGGTATGCTAGCGAGAATACTGGACTCCTAAGAGAGGATGAATTGTAAGATCCCATATGGATTGGAGAGAGGAACGAAGAAACAAATTGCATCCATAACATAAATGGAATTAAATACGAAGTGTTTGGTCTAAACTTTGGTACTTTTGGGCACTTTTTCAATGACCCAAAAGCCATGGGTTAATCCAACGGTTGCGCCTTATTTATTTATTTATTAATTTTCTACAAATTCCACGAACATTTTTTAATATTACATTTTTCTTCTGTAAAACAGCAAACATTAAAGTTTAAGGACTGAAATTGCAATTTAACGTATAATTTAATATCGAACGAGTGAGTACATACTAGCCTTTGCACTAACGGAGTAAAAAAACGATCCAAACTCAAGGGCAAAATAGTAATTTAACCTTATGCTTATGGTTCATTATTCAAATATTCAAAGTTACGGGTCAAAAAAGTGAAGTATACATTTATTATTATTATTATTATTATTTGGTTATAACATTTATTATTTATTTATATTTCTTGTATTTATTTCGCTAGCATCGTTCATTCTTTTCATATTTACTAAATAATAATTACGGTCCAACACCCAACAACCCTAGCCCTTTCCCAAATTTAGCTTCCAATTTATATTAAGAGGAAATTGCAAAAATAGCGTAAAATTTATATAAAAAACTCGGGGTGTTCATACGACCACATAATCAGAGACTACCCAATTTAAAATTATAATTATTAATGTAACTCGAGAATACAGTGTTGGGTTGAGTTGTGAATTTATTCGGTCTCTCGAGTCACCAGCCCAATCATTTTAAACTTTTGATTGAGTTTAAAAGACTTTTCCGACTAATCCAATTCAACCCGTGTACACTCTTAATAATAATTCGAGAGTATTTTTGAGATAAAGGGTAAAGGTCGAGATTTGTAAAGAAAAAAATATTTTAAAAAATAAAATTTTGTAATAAACTAATTGAATGGGAAGAAATTTGAGGAGGATGAAAGAACACGTTTGTAAGGCAATAAAGAATTAGAGACAATGGAGCTGTCTTCCTGCAAAGGTCAATGAGAGGGCTAAGGTTGTTGTTTGGTTCCAAATTTGCTGTATTTCAGCTGTCATGTACAAATGCTTTACCCCCCCATGCTTTGAATTTCAACTCGAAAGGTACACTTTAATTTATGTTGGGTGATTTTGTACCTACAACTAGCTACCCTACTCGGGTCGATCTTATACCACAATTTTAATATTTGTAAGAGATTCAGAGCGTTACGTGTATGAGTTGTCATTAGGGTTATGTCAGTTGCGTATATCAAATCTAATCTATTCATCGTCAATCGTGCCATTAACTATGACTTCCTAGAGTGTCACGACTTAATTGTATGCATTGTGTTTAAGGATGAGATCCTAACGAGGACGTTGAGCTTCGAACGGAGGTGGATTGTGAGATCTCACATTGGTAGCAGTGGGCTTGAGCTGTTACATATTAATTCTTTTAAATACTTTATAATTGTCATATCTTTAAGATCATTCTCATTCGGATATGGTTTTGATTTATTCATGTATTCATTTTTTGTTCGGACGTCACGTACCCACCAGCTTCCACTTAGTTCAGGCACTAATGACTTTTGTTAGACATTGATGGATTTGTTGTACTACAGCTTTATGCACTAGAACACGAGCTATGGTGAAAAATGAGTCATCGTCTTGAAAGAAAAAGTTGTCGTCCTTAAACTTTATAAAGGACAAAGTATGGATGTACCTTCGTAAATGGAACCACACTTTATTTTGGGCCAAAGACGGGAAATTCTAATTTAAGCCATCTTTAAGCATCAATGTAGACGTTGTTGGTATAGATAGCGACTTTCAATTCTTTTAAGTTTTTTTCAGTCATTTTATCGTTAGAATCGGTCTCATTTTGATGTGATCTCGGTTCATTTATATACCCCTAATCGAAGTTGCATTTTATAAGGTCAAAACTTTAATTATGAACAACAGTACTAGGAATATATGCATATATATGTAAACATATATAAATTAATTATTTAATAAATTAATCATGGATTATTTTTAATGGGACCCTGTAGCCCCATTCCACCTAGCTGCTCCACTGCCTAGAGATAATAACTACTTTGGGAATATTTGAACATATTAAATATGTTTAATTATTATTATGAATAATAATATTAGAAAATAAATACCCTTTCGTTTATTCGGGCGTCACATGTCCACCAATCTTTGTGTTGGTTCGTCCCCAGGCCACAACGTACTTGAAAAGATAGAGCTTTGATACCATTTATAACACCCATGTCCAAGATTTGGGATCTGGATTCGATACTTATGTGCCCCGACATTCTCCTACAATATGGTCATTACTTGACTATTCCCACGTACCCAACTTCAAGATTTGAAATCTGAATTCAGCACCTGTGTGCCCCGATATTTCCATCCGACATGGTTATGTTAGATGACTATTCCTACAAACCCATGTTCAATATTCGAAATCTAGATTCGATACCTGTGTGTCTCGACATTCTCCTCAGACATGGTTAGTTACTTGACTATTCCCACAAACGACACATGTCCTTTCAGTATACCCAGAATCATGTGATTTTTCAGTTCATTCATATATCTTCATTTCACTCGAACGTGACATGAACCAAAATAGTAAAATCAAAATCTCGGTAAAGATATTGGTGCAATATTTTAATTATATATACAAATTAAGTTTTTTTTTTAATTTATTTATTTAAAAAAAGGTCAAACAAAACAAAATAATCTCCTTTCCCTCTTTTCTTTTCTCTATTTATCTTCTTCTCACTCTCCCAATCCTTCCCCTTCCTCTTCCCCACTTCCCATTCTCTCTCTTTCTTATTGTAAGTTTGCTTTTGATTCACTTTTAGTTTCCTCCAAACCATTAATCCAATTTCCTTAATTGGGTGAACCACAGCTTTCTTCTGCAAATTTGTTGTTAATGGAGAACCAATTCTTCCTCAATGCTACTGGAATCCCTCAATCTCTCATGCATTTTGATTCCAATCCTTCCATGGCGACCTGGCACCACCAGTTTTCGTCGTCCGCCATGGATGTTCCGCCTCAACCTCATCTTCCAGACCTTACTCACTGTTCTTCCTCTCACCAATCGCCACCGGATTGTTTCCTCAATTCGGTTCCTGATCAGAGCTTCCAATTCGATTCGGCTCTGAGTTCGATGGTTTCTTCTCCAGCGGCCTCGAATTCAAACCTAACTAATGAAAGCTTCGTGATCAGACAACTGATCGGGAAATTAGGCGGGAATTCCGAGGGAAGAATCTTGGAATTGAATTCTACTGCCGCATTGACTCCTTCTTCGAGTGTGGCGGAATTTACGTCCGATCCTGGATTGGCAGAACGAGCTGCTAGGTTTTCGTGTTTTGGAAGTAGGAGCTTCAATGACCGTCAATTGACGAACGAATTCGGTAATTACAGATCTCACCTTCCGATTGCTACCGAGAAATTAAGCCGTGTTTCGAGTAGTCCGTCGATCAAAGCCCTCGGATCTGAAACGAATTTGCTAGAACAACACAAGAACAATTCCTCATCGCATGAAGATGAATCGTCTCTCTCGAATCCGGACAAGGCGATTCCGAATTCACGGAAGAGAAAGGCAATTACAAAGGCGAAACTCAAAGAACCGGTAAAATTCCAACTCATATCCCTTAATTCTACATCTGAAATTGCGAAATCACTCCATGAAAATTGAGCTTCGCGTTTTGTTTTTTTTTTTTCCCGCCATTGTTGCAGATAGTTGAAGCTCCCGAAAAGGAAATTCCAAAGAAACTGAAAGCAGTGGAACCAAAGGAAAACGAAAAAGGAAACATGAAAACGGAAGAGGATTCGCAGAAAATCGATGAGAAAACAGCGGAAGAGAAGCAAACAAAGGAGAATTCCAAGCCTCCAGAACCTCCAAAAGATTATATTCATGTCAGAGCAAGAAGAGGGCAAGCAACTGATAGCCATAGCCTTGCTGAAAGAGTGAGTGAACTAATTTCAACAATTCTCATTCCGATTCTGATGATCATACTGATCTCTGTAAATTTCATTTTCTTCTTCTGAATTAAAGGTTAGAAGAGAGAAAATCAGCGAAAGAATGAAACTCCTTCAAGATCTCGTACCAGGTTGCAACAAGGTAGAGCAGCAATTAAGAAACTGAGCCAATTTAGATACCACTTTTTCAGCTCTTCGCCATATTAATCTCATTGCAAACTTTCATTTTTGGTCAATTCAAGGTAACTGGAAAAGCCCTCATGCTGGATGAGATTATCAACTATGTGCAGTCATTACAACACCAAGTTGAGGTAAAAAACTAATAAGAACATAATCAAAACTTCATAAACAGTTTAGGAATGTGGATTTTGTAAGTGAATGATTTTGAATTTGGTTTCAGTTTCTATCCATGAAGTTGGCTTCTGTGAATACAACCACCACCCGGGTGGATTTCAACGTGGATTCTCTGATCTCAAAACAAGTAAAATCATCAGCCCTGCTTTAATTTACTTTGTTACCATAGAACATTTCATTTTAATTCATTACATAATTGAAAACTGTGTAACGAATATGAGTTTAGCTCGTCTCGTTCGGTTTATGCTCGATCTTATTATCGTTTGGTTCGGGTTGCGACAGATGTATGAATCGGGAACCAGTTTAAGACATCCACAAATTTCCCCAATAGAATCCTCAGGTTCAAGGTTCTATGGGCACACAAATCCCTCTCTCCCAACCACTTCTCATTGCTCTGTGGACCCTTTGGACTCTGTTTTACGCCAAAATCTTCCCATTCAACACCCTCCTCCTCTCAACTCATCCTTCCCCCAAAATCACCCCTCTCAGGTAGTTTGTAATTCATAATTCGTTAAGATTAAGATTGTTCTTGCCGCTGAAAACCCGACTAACTCTTTTTACTTTCAAATTTGTGTATGATAGTATCGAAGTTTTGGGGAAGACGAGCTTCAAAGCATGGTTCAAATGGGATTCGTCCAAAACCAGACGCAAAACTTCAACATAGGTAATCATGCAGGGTCAGAGCAAATGAAAATTGAACTATGAATCTCTTCATTCAACACCATACACAAAGGCAAGGCAAGGCAAGGCTGTTGTAAATACAAGAGATTAATTTTCAATCATTCATTTAAAAAAAGAAAATCCCATTTATCCCATTTCTTAGGTCTAATAATTAAGGAGAGACTTTTTTTTTTTTTTAACTTTTAAATGGGTAATCTCTATTCTATATTTTAATATTGTTGTATTTTATTTTATTTTAAAATCTGTAGAATCAAGTTTGTCCATTTGGTGCTAAGTTGTACAGCACCACATTGTAATATATAAAAACCAAAAAAGAAAAAGAAAAAAAAAAAAAAAGAAGGCTAATTTGAGGGATTATTATTTTTTACAATTCTTGTCTTTTTTTTTTAAATTTATGATCCATAGTGTTGGACATTTTGTCCTTTAATGTAAGAAAAAAGAAAATAAATATAATAATAATAATAATAATAATAATAATTAAAAACATGAACTTTAGGAGTAGTAATAATAATGAATAGTGAATAATGAATAATGAATAATGAATAATTAATGTTTGGTTGGGGTAATGTCAAATCAATGCTATTTTATGAAGTAATCAAATAGATTTGATTCTTAACGTTGTAACCAGCTGTCTACAATGCACTCTATACTCTAAAAACAAATTATTATTATTATTATTAAAAGAGAAGTCTAATTTGAATTATTAGAAGATATTGGCTATTGGGTGGGGAATTAATTAATTAATTAAATTATTTACCACCTAATTTTAAATTAAAAAAAAAGGGTATTTAAAAAAAGAAGCATCCAGGTGGGCAGTGGTGAGATTGTGACTAGGCCCAATGAATCAAAAACCCTTTATTATCTAAACTTTTCAAAAAAATTAATTCAGAAAAAAAAAAAAAATTAAAGCACTAGTGGACTTGTAAAAGTTGCTTTTATTATTATTATTTTATATATTACACAATTAAACAAATTTCTGTCTATTTAAATTTTTAAAAAATTTATTAAACATAAAATTAAATTTTAATTTTAATTTAATATTAAGAAACTTATAATTGGAGCGTAGATTATTCGTGGTAATGTATATATATATATAATATATAGTAACGATGAGAGAGAAAATATAATATTGTTGATGTGAGAGTGTAGTCCCCATTACATAATTAAAATTATAATAAGCTCAATCATGTTATAAAGTGTGTAACCCTATACCTACTAACTAATTATTCCTTTTCAATTTTTCAATTTTAACCCACTCCTCCCTCACTCTCTCTCTCTCTCTCTCTTAATTATTATTATATTCAATATTCTCTTCTCCATTTTCCTCTTCATCCATTCCTACCAGACTTTACTTTGTGCGGCTCAATTTCGCTCTATTCGAAGACGATCCTTGTTTCACCGTCAGTAGATGACAAGCACAAGGTTGCACCATTATGATTATTGTCTTTTAAAAAGACGATTAATCAGTAGTAAACACTATAGATAGATAGGAGTCATAGTCATTCTCCTTAGAACACGTTCCATTAAAATTTGTATTCTAACATGATTGATATGAAATTACTTTATATATAAACTTGATTTCATCGGGATATTGGTCGAAATATGCCTCAATTCTCAAATATTGTTTCGAGTTTGATAAGTTACTTAGTGGCAACAAGGAGTATATAGGTGAATGGTCATTATCAAAGTCCTAAAATTCATGTCCTTAATGGAAGCAAAAAGGCTTCAAATCTGCCTCATAACTTAGGCCCTACCATGCACCAATGTTTTTAGGACAATACATAGACTCAAACCAACCCTTCACTTTTTTTTTTTTTTTTCTTTTCCAATATTTATTTAGATTCTAAATAATTAAAAAGTTTTCTTTATATATAAAATTACGTAAGACCCAGTCCCTTATAAGAGCGTGGAAACTTCTCTCTACCAACACGTTTTAAAATCGTGAGGTTGACATAATACGTAACGGGTTAAAGTGGACAATATGTGCTAACAATGAGTTTGGGTTGTTACACAAATGCACGAGAAATTTTGTTTTTTGTTTTCTTTTTCTTTTTCTATTTTGATATGAATTTCTTCAAAATTTTAAAATAGGGAGGGAAGGCCCTGACTTATTAGTCAAACTTGTCTGGGCTCAACACATGATGATTTGATTTTTTTTTTTTGTCGAAGACATAATATCTTAACAAGTCAAGTACGCCGTTTATATAAAATTAATATGAAATTAAAGATAATATGAATATTTTTTAAAAATTGATTATCGACTATAATCTATGATTGAATAAGATGTTAAATTAGTAATTAGGAAGAATAATTTCACACGCTTCAACTCGATTTTGTATTTATTTTTCATCAATCAAATAATACGACATTATAATGTTTAACCCATCAATCCTAATCATAATTTATGAGAGATACAATCTTTTTAAATAAAATTAAATAAAAAATTATCAAATTATGTCCACGTGTATGTGAAATTGCTATTTCTATTATCATTATTTACCACACATAATAATTATAAAGCTTTTTCTTTTAAAAAAAAATATATAATGCTCAATTCCCCCAACCCAGAATATATCAATATTTTTATTATATCATAAAAAAAAATTAAAATATTAACAATATTATTATTATTATTATTATTATTACTCGAGTATAATCATCATCAACGTTTTATCGATATTTCTATTTTTAAAAAAATTTTAGATATGACATTTAAATTTTAATGTGGAAAGATAATAATTTTTTTGAGTTGAATTACAAATTTAGTAATGAACTTGTAAGGATATCTATTTGGTCCTAATTTTTTAAAAAATGTTTAATATATTCTTTCGGGATCGATCGGATATAAAAATATAAATCTTTAATTCTCATTCAACATAAAATTTAATACTATATTCAACAAATAGATGAATATTAGTGTAAATTTGAAATTTTTTTAATTTCAGGTTTAATAATAATTAAATTTAAAATAAATTTTAATATTTTTAAATTTATATTTAATAGATTTATATTTGTGAAAATTTTAAAATTAAAATTAAAGTTTTAGAATTAAAATGGTAATAATAATTAAAAAAAAAAGCAATTATTTTGAGTATATGGAATAATCCATCGTGAAAAACGCGTCCGGCGCGTCAGCCGTGAAATAATCCAAATTATTCTAAATCTCTTATATTATTTATTTATTTATTTCATAAAATCTTAGAGGAAAATGACCTTATTCTCCTTTTCTTCTCAAGTCTTTTTCACTCACAGCTGGTGGTAATATTATTGACTTCATTATGTCTTTTTACTATTTAAAATTAAATTAAAAAATGTAGGGTATAATAGTAAATTCTCCCTCTTTTTTTATATATTAATAAACTATTATTTTGAACTGGTAAAAGTGTGGGCCTAACGGATCCAAAGGCCTATTCTTCTATCGGCCCATTAATGGGATTTCCTTGGGCCTAAGGATCCAAAGCCCCATTCTCTCCGAAATAATAAATTATTTCAAATAATATTTCTCAGCAAGTGTCCATAAACCAAAAACCGAACCGGATAAGTTCAAATTCAGAAAAATGAACCTAAACCAACTCGAAAAGCTAGTCCAACCAACCCAACCTGGTCCGGGTTGTCGGGTTGAATGTACACCCCTGTTTCTTAGTAGCATTTTCGTCGTTAAACCTAAGTCTCTCCCATATTGCGTATAACATTAAATTGTAAATACTAAAATTATTATTGATCAACTTTTCTCGTTTTCCAACTTCTACTATGACCTCAATAGCTTCTGATCCCTTATATAAACTTGTAGATTTACTCGAGAAGAATCTAATGGGTCAAACTCAAGTAAATACACCAACAAAATGGAGGATCAACTAGAGAAGCTTACAAGTTCAAATCTATACCCACACTTGACGGGACGTTCTCTCCTTATATCAACTCTGATAGCTCCCGATGTCTTCCCCAAGCGAATTTCTTCAAGCCAACACGTTCAATCACACCTTGGCCCTATCCACAACAGACATTGAAGAGGAAATCGCAAAGAATTGACCTCTCGTCCACCCGTCTTCGCCATCGTCTCCAACCATACTCTACAAGAAAAATTTTTGAGAAAGTTCCGTGGAGTTCATAATTGCAATAAAGGAGGAGAAGTAGTGGGGCGCGTCAATTGTCACGGACTATCACCACCACCATCGTTGCAGCCTTCCACCGCTGCCTTACTACTATGATCATCCTTACCAATCATTCATTTATAATAGCTAGAAATTTAGGAAGCGTTGAAAAAGATGTAACAATTTGCTTATACAAGTCAATGAGCTGTTTATAAGAAATGGATCATGAAGACTGAAGTAAAAATTGGAAGTTTTCAAAAATGAGTATGCAAAGTACAACAAAATGGTAATAATCTGAGACAGAAAAGACAAGTGCCATGCTCATGTAATGGCAAATTGGAAAGAAAAATGGAAGCGTGGAGAATTGGAGCGCAGACAAAGCAATAGATTACTCTATCCAACGCATACAGTGGCGCAAAGCAGCGCGTGAAGGCTCGCGTAAGGTCCATTTTCAGAATCTCGCATTCGCACATGGCCTGCCTGCCTGCCTTCTTCACTCCTACATTCATTCATCAAATTCTGCATCTAAGTTTTTACATTTCACTTTCCCATTAGGAAAAAACCATCAAAAACACCAACTGTAAAGGAACAAGGGGAAGAAATACCGTGTGTTTATCTGCTATTTCCAGCGCAGCTTCCATTTCTGTCTCATCTACTCAAGTTTCTTCCATTTTTGTTTCTGGGTTTTGCTTGGTATGATGAATTATTGATTCCCATTGATCGAAAAGGAGATTTAGAGATCTGGGTCTTGCGATTTTGTTAGGGTTTTTTTCTGGGTTTTGCTTGGCAAGATGAATTACTGATTCCCTTTGATCGAAGAGGAGATTTAGAGATCTGGGTCTTGTGATTTTGTTAGTTTTCTTTTCTGGGTTTTGCTTGGCATGATGAACTACTGATTCCCATTGATTGAAGAAGAGAATTAGAGATCTGGGTCTTGTGATTTTGTTGGTTTTTCTTCTTGATTTCTGGGTTTCTGAATGTCTCGAACTCCGAATTATGAGTTCCAAGAATGGTGGAACAAGCA